TTAAAAAGTTACAAAAATTTAAAGGATAAAATCTAGTATTATTGTTTTATATCTAACCATTTATACAAGAAAAAAAATACTATACAAAAATCTAAAAGTATAACATCAAAAAAAAAAAAAAATTTAAATTTTTTTTTTGAACGGATTATATCACTGTATCACTAAAACATTACCGTTCTTATATTTTTAGTTGCAAAATTCGAGAAAATTTTGATAAAGTGAAATCAATTACTTTCGGCCATTCATTAACAAAATTGTGTTGTTTTTTGGTTTGGTATTAATTGCTAGATTTAATTGGATTTTGGTAAGTTGAAATCAAAGTAATTGGGATCCTCTACTTATAAAACAATTTTGTTTTCCAGTTTTGGTGTTGAGGATTAGAGTTAGGTGAGTTTTGATGTTCAAAATTAAAATAATTGGGGCCCTTCATTTAATTGAGGTCTAACCAAAAAAAAAAAAAAAATTCAATATTACAAGAATTTTTCCTAAATCGGAGCCCTAAATTTTAGCTCAAATCTAGGATACAACACGACGGTTTTGCCAGCTTGCCTCAAGAATGAAACGAGTGATTATTTGGTGATCTTGAAACATTACTTCACACCACTTATCATTTGACACTTGTCAAGTTGTCCTTTATAATTTTAATAGAAAGTATTAAATCTTACAATTTTAACCAATCAATAACAAGTGAAGGCACCATATGAATTTGTGCAACGACTCTCACATAATTTTTCTGGAGCTAGCTCTTGTCTTGGTAATAAGAGTCATTTCCTTTGCCCAACCGCTATCAACTCAAACATTTTAGTATTAAATTAAATTAATTTACCTCAAAAATAAATAAATAAATAATAACAACAACAACAATAATATAAACAATAACTGTGAAGTCCTGTGACCATAATATAAAGAAATTAATTGAACAAAAAAATAGATTAAAAAATTGGACACTCAGTTTATAAATCCAAATCAAGATTTTATTTGTTCAAAAATCGTACTCTGAAACATTAGGTCTATAAGGATAAGTTTATTTGTCCAAAAATCATACTCTGAGATCCTCTGGTTCGCCGCATGTCGAGTCGAACTCGAACTCACAAGGTTGCTCCAAAAATGGTGGTTGGTTGCTTAACACAGGTCCTCTCAAATCTTTCAATTTTGGCTTATCATTGAAGTGTTTTGGTAATGGTCGAATGAAATCAATTGTGAGAGTGGGGATTAATTGAAAGTTTTGGAATCTGTTTTGAATTATTTGTTGTTCTGTCTTTACTAATTATCTTATCATATTTTTTATTCATGTATATCTACAACAACTTTAGTAGTAACAATGTCTTAGGCCATATCTTCCGTGGAGATTGCTTATTGGTAGGTAAGTATTTTTGTTTTCAGAAATGAGCCTGGTAACAAGATTTGAATCTAAGATCTTGAGTTTCATTAAAAACACTCTTACTATTTAAACAACATATACATTATGATAATAATTTCTTTATTATTTGTTTTTATGCTTACTTATCTAAATTGCACACGCATTGCGAATGCCACCCACTAGTATATGTATATATATACACATGAGTGGACCTCATTTTGTTCCTGGTAATATCAAATGAATCATCACTTTGAATTTTTATGGCTCTAATTTGTGGAATGGTTTCAAACTGTGGATGGATATGGGATTAAGTCCACAAACACACTATCTGTTTAATTTTTTTATTATTATTGTTTAACTTTTGATCTTTATTATTTTCACATATCAGTTCCAACATCCAGATTTCTTTTCCTACTAATGATGATGGTGGAACAGGAAGTGGAAACGGTGGGCTAGAAGAGAGGAGAGGGAGAAAAAGAAGAGGGGAGAGAGAAAAAAAAAATTTCGTTGTTGTTGTTCAATAGATCATCCCTCTAGACTTGGGTTTTTTTTTTTTTTTTTCTTTTTTGTTGTTATTATGGTTTTGAGATCTTATATTTGATCTGTTCAAATTTTTTTTTTAGTAGATGATGATCATGATGAATTTGCAATACAGAGCATGATGAATTTGAAATCCAGATCTGTGTTAAAATCCAAAGTTAATTTGAATAACAAAGGTTTGAATAGATAAAAAAATAACAAATAGAATTGAAAAAAAAAAAAAATTGAATAGATAAATAGAATTTAAGAGAAAAATTGAACAAATTGATATAATTTAGGGGGAAAAAATGAATAGATAAAAAAAATTGAGCAGATAAATAGAATTTAGGGAAAAATTTGAACAGATAGACAGAATTGGAAAGAATTGAACAGAAAGATATACTTTAGGAGAAAAAATTGAACAGACAGATAAAATTTTTTAAACAGATAGATATAATTTTGAACAGATAGATAGGAATTTGAACAGATAGAAAAATATTTAAACAAATAGATATAAATTTGAACAAATAGTCAAAAAGTCAAACAAATAAAAAAAAGTGAAAGGATAAAATTAGAAACCAAATATTCAGGGCTCCTCACCATACTATTTCACAAAACGTGAACCTTTCATCAATAAAAATATATCTTTGACCTAATGCCTTGTACCCTCTTTAGATTGGATTTATCACCAATTAACCTTAAAAAATTTTGTTTTAAAATAATAATACCTAAACTGATGGCCTATAAATGTCACTCCAGCAGAAAGCCCAAAATTCCATGAGGCCTCTAAAGTGGATTATGGATCAACTATTTAATGGCACCTAATCTCATACCCCATTGGATTGGGACAAAATTTCATGAATACCGACATTTCTTTTTAATTATATATATATATATATATATATGTCAGAACTAAGGTCATGTTTGGAAGGGTGGTAGTTGTCAATAACTTTTACCAACTACCACCATAGTTCATTTTTCTATTTGCATGGTGAATCAAACAATGTCACTAGGTGACATTTGGAAGACCAAAGTTCCATTCTCGTGGAAGAAAGAAACAATGAAAGTAAAACCCTGCTGATCTGATACAATAGTAGGGCAAAATTAGAAACTGTAATCTCCAACCCTACATATAACCCACCCTACAATAGTCCGGGGATTTCCTTGAATCCCCAAGACGAGGGATTGCAGAAGTTTGCCACTACTTTCAGATTGTGTATTGCAAGGGGCTAACATTCGCAGGGCCAAGTTTCGCGGTGATTTCACTCATCTATCAATAGTTGACACCTTAGTATCTTAATCCAACATGTAAATTAGCCCTCCATGGCTTGAATTGCAGAGTCAAACCCATCTAATCCCATATCCAACTCCGATCCCATATCCTACACCCAATGTGGTGGCTAGCTCTAGTAACAAAAACAAACGATACGAACCCCTTGAGTAGAACTCACCTTAAAAACCAACTTGCAAGGAGAGAATACCCGAGAAACTTACATTCATAAGATGTGAGATCGTAGCAGTTTTATTCTCTTTTTTTCTTTTGCCCCCACAAGTCCACAACAATCCAAAATCTAAACATTGGCTATAAGTGATGCAAGCAGAAGACTGTACAATATTTGATAGGAAAGCTAGTATACCTGATACAATCAACAGAGATTTGTATACCAAATTTGGGGCATTAGTAGTGGATTTGGCTTATAATTTTACAAAATGAATTCAAAAGGAGCTAAGGGAACAGTAAAAAAAAGGGAAGGGCAATCCACTCATAATCTAGTAAGAAAGAAGTTTGATCATTCAATGGAGCCTTGACACACCCCCATAAAGATCAAGAAATTTATCTGCATATGTATATATAATCTAGGGAAATTCTACTATACACACCCCTTGAAAGGGGTGTGTCATATGCACTTTTATGCCATTTTCTTCTTTAGTTATGATAATATTTTAGTTATGACTCATGAAATCTTTAATTATGACTCACGTAGTGTTTGGTTATGACTTTTATATTTTATTTTATTTTAGTTATGACTTAGAAAATATAGAATTAAGTCATTTTTTTCATTTATCTATATATATATATATATATATATGTATATCTATGCTTGTTCTCCATCCACATGTCACATGAAAGGGTCAAAAATCAATGACACCTAAGCAAACCATTGCTTCATTGCATTGCAGAAACAAAACATTAATTTATCAATCTCAACAATAATGTTGATTTTGATGTAATATAACAAAGAAAGCTCACTAAATGCATTTCATAAATTGAGTGCATTTCATAACAGAAAGGGCCTACTTAGCATTAAGTAAAAGGTAGACATTATAAGTAGATGATTTCAAAGCTTAATCCAATCTTAGTGATCTTATAGTAATTCAATTAATTTATGCAATGGGATGGTCCTATTAGGTCAGTTGCTTACTTTGATGGTATTAAAAATAATGTCAGATAAAAGATGAATATGGCTATTTCATTGCAATAAGAAAGTCTTGAGATGTCTTAAGGCTCTGTTGGATTGTCCAAAGTGAATATAATGGGTTGGGAAGGATATGCAACACTTACGGATATAGGATGAGACATAATAGGATATGAGATGGATTATGTAAGGTAATTTTTGCTATGTTTGGTTAGGGTAAGTGATAGTATGGAATAAGAGGAGATTGATTATTTTTACCATTCAATGAAAGAAAAACCTATGTCCAGTAGTGGAGGACATTCAACACCATGGGGCTGGGGGATATACCACCCGGTCCCCTTACATCCAGAGTCTCTTGACAGAACCAGACATGGGCTAGTAGACAACAAAAAAAAAGAAGACACATGGGATCCACTGGATATACGATCCGATCAGCCCCCTTATCCTTTGTTATATCCTACAAACAAACAGTGCCTAAGGGTTTGAATAGTGTTAAAGGATTTTAATAATCCATACTGTCATTACGAAGTGTAATCACTCTATAATCAGCAACTAACAACACTAACATTATAGGGAAATTCTTCCATGTGCAATGTTCCACAGCTAATCAAGGGTGAAGTGTTCAACAATTCCTAGTTTATGACTACAATATTTAATATAAAGATGCAAACAATTAGGAAGGAAAAGGATAATAAGATGAAGGATTGCAAAGAAAACTCCTCGAAATTCATTAATAATATATTAAAAAAAAAAAAAAACTGCACTACTTCTTTTTGTTCTAATTCTAAATATTCTTTATTAATCGAATCATGATTGACCTTATAAATAGCAGGAAAATGAATAAATAAAAGTAATCTAAATGAGCTCTGCACCAAAACCTTCCCCGCCATCCAACATGATACCTTGCATTACTTAGGCGACTTAGAAGAGAGACATTTTCCACAGGAGACAAACCTCAGCAAAGTTTGTGGTTTCCTCGTCCTAATCTTCAAACGTGAAAGCTGCATAAAAACAACTTTGTAGGTAACAACTTCAAATAAATCACAGAATACAAATTATGAGTTACCAATTAATCCTGCAGTCTAAAACAGCATAATTTTTCACAGTTGAAATTCTGATCATATGGAGGCAATTTTAGTTCTGGTTTGCTCGCTATTATTTTCTTCAGCTTGTCAAATCCATATTACAATCAGGAGACAAGAACCATTTCTCCGAGGTTCTTCGAATAACCTTCAATAAAAGGCCAATAATAGTTTGCCAAACCCAAAAAATAAGAAAAGCTAGAAGGCTGGGTCTCAGTACTCAATCTACCTCCCTCAAACCCCCATCTAATGGAGACTAAAATAAGCGTACGACTTAAATTAGACTGTCCTGACATTGAATGATCAAAGATCTAATGCATCTTTCAACCAGTTTTGGTTAACTTAAAAATAGCACTCTGAAGAGAACATGAAGCCATTGTGCTAAATAAGACACGTATAGCATGCGTATAAATTTCAAGAACAGCTTGTATGGCGATGATGACGACGACGACGACGACTAATACATCAATGGCAACAATTAATGGCCATTGGAAAATAACTACTCCCTCCGTCCCAAAATATCAGTCCCTTATTCCATTTTTCATTGTCCCAAAATATTAGTCCCTTTTCAAAAATCAAGGACTAAAATAATATAAATTTCCTATTTTGCCCTTCTTTTAAATTCATTAACACAAAAAGTACAATTATAACCATTGATATTCCAGGAAAAAAAAATGTACTATCAAAGGATAATTTTGGGAGATTAATATTTTTAAAGTGCAATAATTGTACTACCAAAAAGAGTTAGATTCCCCAAAAGGGACTATTATTTTGGGACAGAGGGAGTATTTACCAAGAAAAAGGCTTTTACTCTTGCTGCTCATTCCAGGTATGCTAGAAGGGACACATAAATGCAATATATATGACAAAAAATTAAAGTAATATATATGGGTACTTCAATGGGATATCCGCTCCACCAATAGCTAAAAGTTTGGGGTCTCATCTGACTTGTACAGAGACAAGGGCAAAGTGAGTCAATCATATGTCCTGTCACTCCCAGTTAACACCATTTCTATATGCAGACTCACACATTTGTGCAGTGAAGACCTCTATCAACAATAAATGACGATAAAGAAATTTTCCTAGGAAGCCTATATTTATGCAATTTATTGTTGAAATATTTTGTATTCAGATTCCATGCATAAAGTTATATGAGATACGATGATTGTGTTGTTGCCTAGCATTAACCATGGCCGGTATATATACTGCTTAAACATATTATGCCCTTCACAGGACTTGCAAGATATTAAATGTGGAAAGTTCAAATAGTCTACACATTCTACAACTCAGAGATAGTGGACTTTCTAGAATTTGCTGTAAGATCATAACAAATTTATCAAACATTACCTTCCGACGAGTCACTTTAGATGCCTTCCAGCAAAGCAAGCTTCTTGATTTAGGTTCTAGTTTCCTGTAGAAACCAAGAAATATTAGAGCCATTTCAAAGTTCACGAACAGAATCAACATCATACAGAGATTTTGCCTATCCTACAAACTGAGTGCACAAGTAGCTTTCACGACAGTATGCCTTTGACAAAACACTATTTATTAAATTGTAGCACACTTATAGTCTATTGCCAACTACACTCGGGACTTCTTAAGAAGATTATCTTTTTCAAAGAAGACTATCTTTGTGGTACAGAACTTAAACTAGCAACTAGACTGTAAACAATATCAAGTTTGAGAGCTCCTGATGTCAAGTCTAGGAGCCGTCACTAATTCGCCTACAAGTCCAGTGGTTCTAGCATGCCCACATCAATGACTCCTGTCATTCAAAACCTTAGCCTCCTCACACTTCTCTCTCTATATATTTTTTTATAACTTGTCAACAATCTAGTTCTTTGCATATCCAAAGCCTCCCTAGGGCGGGGTTTTAAAAGAAATGAAACAAAAAAAAAAAAGTAAAGGAAAAGATAAGAGCATCAGAATACGTACAGATTCTCTTGTTCAAGCTTTTCAGCAATAGAAACGGCTTTGCGTTTCGTCCATCCATTTCGCTGTGTGCTTCCTTCAGCCTGCTGAATTACATGTGCAAGGGACACCTTGCCTCTCACAAGGCTCTGGCTCTGATTCTGTTCGCCTAACTTTCTTCGTTCTGGTAAAGTCAGGGCAGATTTCTTATGTGGAGCTTCCACTTCTCCTATCCAAGGATTTTCCAAATCTTTCATATCATATTGTAAGTTGTTATCTTTATGCTCATTATTTTTCTGCCCTCCTGGAGAATTTATTTCAACAATTTCACTCCTTCCCTGTCCAAGAGAGTCAGGGGCTTGACTTACACCAGCTCTTTCTTTAGGAACCCTTTTGCTGGTATCACCATATCCGAGCATAGTCATCCTGTTACCACTGGTAAGCTCTGCATTTGTACGCATCAGAGATGAACCATCCTGAGAACCAGGTAAGACGAGTGGCGTATTAACCCCAGCCCTTGCATCTTTCCTAAATTCACATCTAATTTCAATTGTCACAGGGGACCCAAGAACAGACTCAAATGCTAGTAATATGTGTGCCTTATACTTCTCCGCCTTGGATTTTGTCAGGTGTGAACTAAACATCAACTGAACAATTGGGGCTGCAAGACAGATAAACTAATTAGAAGGACTAGCAGATGTCCCACAAAATATTGGGGAAAAAAGTGGTACATCTGTAAATCGGCCCATCAAAGATGTACTATCACTGGGACTGCCCAAGAAAATCATGATCTCAGTAAATAACCAATGTGGAAAAACTTTGTTGTTTTGACAAGTAAACAAACAATTGGGAAAACATTGCATCAACATGTTCCACTATAATTAATGAAGCGTACATGAGGTGTATCTCCTCGCATGTACATAAATAGTATCTAATCCCAGAAGTATTAGAGAATACAGAAACATGTGGTCCAAACAAGAAGCAAGAGCAACCAAGGAAACAGTAAATATGACAATTCATACTAATTATTACACCCAATTTCCTAAAATGAGTTCAGTATGATATTCTGAACAGCATGAAATATCCTTTTAAAATGTTTACCATGTCTCTGAAGAATAGTTTGGCCATATTGCAAGCTACAAACTCCCAAAACCAACAATAAATTTTCACTAGCATGTCAAAGTAGGATACAAAAGATAAGCTATAGAAAGTCTACTTTACAGTCATACCTGATACAAGGCTGCTTTTTCTTTTGAGGTTTCTATAAATTGGGAAACCAACTGAATGAGAAACTATGCTGACAGAATGGCACAAGAATATATTGCACAAAATGGTAAATTTTAATTGCGTACAAGAATGTGCCCTCAGGGCAAGAATGCCCCCTGTTTCAAGAATCCACAGAAGGTTTCGATTAATTAATGATTAACCAGTGTCATCAAAAGCACACCAAAGTGCACACCTAGGCAGGAGGTGCTCCTGAGGCTCCTCAACAGACCCAAGACAAGGTGACTTTAATAAGCGCAATTAAGATGCTCGAGACGCACAAGACGCATAGAGGTGTATTTCTCTTTCAACTCTTTGATCTAATTAAGCCCGTTATGATTTTATATGTTAGGACATCCTATCAAAGCCCCTCAATTAAATAGAGAACCTCAACCCTAGTCAACAGATTGAAGATACATACTAAAGCTTTTATATTTTAGATTACATTTCTTTTTTTCTATCCAGCAAAACTTTCTATTCAATGTAACCTTGTGTCATTGTTAATGACTTAATTTGCTTAATTGCATATTTTATTTACTTATTTTGTTTAAATATGTAATTTCATAGCTATTTAATTACTTAAATTTCTTAATTTCTTAATTATTTTTAATTGTTTAATTGCTTGATTTGAAATTGTTGATGTGGTCCAAGTTATTAAACATAATGTAATAAGTTGGGTGCTCATAATCTCATATAAAAATACAATGTCACTGGTTAGTACATAGTAGATAAAACATACAACAAATTTTTCATACTAATTAAAAACTATACAATATCAATAACATGCGCCTCACTTTAATGAAGTCTGAGCCAAGGCCCTAGCAGACCTTGATGCCTCAATGCGCCTCTAGCCTTAAATAACTCTAGGTTAACCAATCACTTCAAACAATATGGTTTCTTCACTCGAGCATTAATTGAGGGGTTTGAAATATAATCTTGAACCAACTAACAATTATTAGAATCCCACCAAAATTCTTAGAATCCCACCCCGCTAGAGTAATCACACATATTAAGACCTGCTTGTAATAAGATTTTCTTTAATCTTTTAGAATCAACGTTTCCTAAAATAAAAGGCATATTGAACATTCCACTAAAAATAATGTTCTTGATACCATACAAATAATAAACCATTCAATAACCTTCTATTAAATATTCATCTCATGCTTGTTTGAATATCTAATCAAACAAAAATTTCTTATCATTACTATTACTACAATTTTTACCATTAATTAAGCCCTTTAAATCTTATCTTTATGTTACATTATGAAAGATTAATTAACTTTTAACTACCAATTAAACTTATCACTAGTACCCAACAAATGATGCCTCTTTCACCTCATCCTCATTCTCGAACCCATTGTTTTTTAAATCATATTGGACTAGCTGGCTCAACCGGTTGGCTTGTCAACTGGTCTAGGTTCCGATTTGGACAAACCCCCAAACCCATTTCCTATTAAAAACCAGTTTATTTATGTCCAACCGTTGAAAACTGCAATTGAACCGCTTACTCGCTTGAACCGAAGCCAGTTTATGAAAACCGTCTGAGCCTTCCAGCACGATTGGCCAAAATGCCAGGCAGTGTATAAAATGTAATCTACAAGAATCGAACGCAACACCCCACTTGTTGAAAGCATGGATTTGAACCAACAGAGCATCGTTGGCCTTTGACAATATATAGAAATATAAATTATTTATTAGATTAAGTTCATTTTCTCATAAATACAAGTTTAATTAACTTTTCAACAAATAAATTTTATCAACATATGTGTATATATATCTTACAAGTATAAAAATCATTAAAATAAATGTTTCTCAATACTTCTATTTTTATTTAAATATAATTTTTAATATATTTACGAGATAATTATGATATCATGGTTCGATTCTGGCTGACATAACAATTGAACCAGTGACCCATAACCCGATCCCCTTTTCGGTTTGACCAACGATCTAGGTTTTTGAACATTACTCAAATACATAAACCTCATGGAGGTGTCAATGTTTAAGACAGTCATTGGTGAAGTGGACAAACTGTGGGCCCTCTCGGAATTATGTTAGACACAAAGATGGCACGAGACCACCAAAGGTGGAGAGGGAGAGTTGAGACACCTTTAGTGTGAGTGAGCGTGGTAGTTAGTGAAGATGAGGGAGAGTAAGCTCTCCTTAAGAGTTTGTCTTGAATAGAGACGGAGACCTGCTTTTATAGGAGAGTAGGACTATGGAAGCCAACTAATGCTCAAAAGCCGCTTCAGGTATCACATGCTTTAGTCCAATAGACTTCTCTCTCTTTACTAAGATTGGTGAAGTAGAGCCACCCCAAAAGGGGGGTTGAGTTGGGCAACTTTGAGGATCCCTTCACTCTAATTGCCAATTCTTAAGTCTGGTGATCCTGTGAGAGGTTCATGGGTTGCTCAAACACCCCATGAATTACGCACCGATCTGGGGGGATGCCAAATCCCTACTCCCCACCAAGGCAAGCTACATACCACAAGGCATCATTCTGTAGCCAAGTAGGCCAGGCTTCAAGGCTATGAGGCGAGGCGAGGTGAGGTGCCTAGGCAAAGTGGGCAAGCGAGGGAAGGCCACAAAGAAGGTCCATATGCCTTGAGATGTGGACCCAACCCCCTTAAGGAGATGATGTGGTAGGTCATTCGAGACAAAATACAAATGCTACAACTAGTGTTGTCATTACAAGCATTCTCAGCCAATAATGAGTTGACTGCACCAACTCATCTTGGTATTGGTTGCATCCAAGACAATTCTCGAGTCACAATATGGGGAAATGTGACATTGGATTAGGCTAAAATCAATCTTTCTTGACCAATATTGTGCAATTACATGAGTCATATTGTAATGAAACTTGGTCTACAAGTCATACCTTGGAACGATTTCATTTCTTTATTATATTGCTATCAAAACCCTTTTTTGTTCCTTGGCTCATTTTCTTCCTTACTCTAAAAAACTTTCATTTTTTGTTTTTCAATGTTTTTAGCTTTGTACATAGCTTAACTTTGCTAACCAATAGGTACTGTGATGAGTCACCACAGGTTTTCTTGAAGCTCCCTGCATCAATGAGAATTTGAACCCTAATTACCACACACACACACACAGCTCATACTTTGTTGTTATAATTACTAGAATGGCGATTATGTATCTTTATTCAATTGATGCGGTAACCTAAATTTATTTGCTGCTCTAACTATCATTCAATGTGTGTACTTCTGGTTTTTTTGTTTTTTTTGTTTTTTTCCCCTTTTTTAAAGGTTAGGAGATTAGGGTGTTAAATGCGGGAAACATTGACTCTCAATCAGGTATTTTGGGAACTTGTTTCCCTTTACATCTTTTTATGATTTGTTTCTTATTAGTTTCATTAAATTTCTAATATTAATTTGTATGCTCAATTTTTCACCAATGTTAGACATTCAATTCCAAGAATAACTCTTCCTTGTAAACAAGGAACAATGAATTCATACTTTAAAGGCCAGAGGAATGTCAAAGATGTAATATTCATATATAATGGCACATATTATAGCTTTATGACCCATTTGCAACATACAGCTCCACAATAAGTTACAAAATCTACACATAAACTAAAGGAATTCAACAGTCATGAGTATAACATACATACTCATGCTGCGTTAGTTGTTAGATTTATTGATCCAAAATTCGCGATTCGATTCGCAATTCGATTCACAATTTTTGCAAAATCGATACGAATCTATAGGTGAATCTCTCTGTTATCAGAATCTTACGATTCGCGATTCAATTCGAATTTTTTGCAAAATCGATACGAATGTTTGGGTGAATCTATTTTGGAAGTAAATCTCTAGTGAGTCGCACGATTCACAATCGATTCACGATTCAATTCACTTTTTACGATTCACGTAATTTTTTAAATTATTGTGTCCAACATATTTTCAACTATTTCTTTCTCCATATTTTTAGTGAAAATGACATAATACAACTTCTAATAGCGTTTAGTACCAAAATAATCAACATATATACATAATTTGTAATTATTTTAGTGATCATGAAGTTTTTAATAGAATCCAAGCAGATTCATTCAGATCCAACATATTTTTAACCTTTCTTCTCATTTTTTTTCCCTTTAAAAAATCATAATATATCTTCTAAAGATGTTTAAGATTAAAGTTACATTATAAATTATCTATTGCTATTTTATTAAATTGAATATAATTGAATATTACATATGTGAGGTCAGTTATACCTTTGAAAATGTTTTAAGCTTTAAAATAAAATATTTTAAATAATTCTTTCTTATTATTTGTTCACTGTTCCTTAGAAAAGTATGTATATTTATTGTCCAAATATCAATATCGTTGTTAATTATTGTTATTTTAAAAATTGATAATTTGTCTATTTGGTTATTATCTTTATTAAGAATGGTTGATAAGAAATATCTAAAAAAGAAAAATCTTTATTAAGAATGGTTGATAAGAAATATCTAAAAAGAAAAAAAGTAAGATAGTGATCTTACATAAGAATTTTGTTAACTTCTTACCTATTAAACTACATGATTATCACTCAAAATAACATTTTCATTGATTTAAGCCTAGATATTTCATATTCATAAGATATATTTAACATCTAAATGTGTAAATATATATATTTTAAGTAATTTTAAAAAGTGACCAAATCTTTACGATTCACGATTCGATTCGATTCGCGATTCGGTACAAGGTCATTTCGATTCACGATACGAATCTCGATTTGACAACTATGTGTATGACTACTCATTTAGATAGTCAATTTAGTGACAGACTTCTCTTAATATCACAGAAAATTATGTTAATCAAGAACCAAAAGAATGATCTAAAAAGAACTGAAAAATGTACTATAACTCAATTGACTCTAGGTAAATTATATCTTGAGTGATGACTATAACATTCTTTGTCACACATCACAAGAATTCTGGATTGTGCACGTTTATTTTATTTTATTTTTTGTTTATTTATTAATTAATAAAGAAATTGCAGTTTTTCTGTTTCTGGAACGACAGTGTGTCTTAAAGGGGCAATTTTAAAAGAAGAAAGAAAAGTATAGCATGAAAAAGTAACTACCGAATTTGCTTGAACTATCATTGGTCCAATCAATGCTCACCGTTGTTGTTAAACTAGAATCATCAAAATTGGGAAGCAAGTCCCTTTTCTCTTCCTCAATTTGGGAAAAAATAAAACTCGGGCACACCACCAATGTACTATCCTCTAAAAGATTGCCCCTTACACACCATCAGCTATCAATTTCTTAGTGCCAACAGGAAACCCATTCCCACTCGGCAAAAACAACAACAACAACAGCAACAAAAACAAAAACATTTTTCAATGCAAACGAAACTCAAAGAATCAGAATAGAATTTGAAAGCGCACTAATTTTAAGTTTCTCCATGTTTGCATTGAATCCCACAGATAAATCTGGACACCAAGAGTCTCTAAAGGCTTCCACATGCAAATTATACAGACGCAAAGTTGACATCAAAATCCTCTATAAATATTTAACAACAATTAACTTTTTTGTAAAAAGTATGACAATAAGCATAAAAGAACATGAAAATTGAGCAGATTGCATGAGGAAATACCTGCACCAAATCTGACTAAAATCAGCTTTCCTTCTTGGTACAGAAAATCTTTTATGCCTTTTATTTGAATCTTTTCAAGCACCTCCAACCAAATGTCTTCAATTTCCTTATTGACTCTAGCTGAGAGCAGCCTGCTATTTGTTCTATTCATATCAGCAGAGAGTGTGAATGTCTGTTGAGGAACCATCACAGCTGCAGCATGTTTTCTTCTATCTGTATTACCTTTCATTTTAGCGTTATGATAAGCATCACTAGAACTTCCAGCTTGAAGGTTTTCTATTTTGGTATCATGCAAGGGAAATCCTCTCTCAGTATTAAGCATCTCAGAATGCTCAACATTACTCTTCCTGGGTCTCTCTCTTCTGCCACTGTTTCTTTGGACTGAGGGACTATGATTAAAACTAGTGTCTGCAGAGGAACTGGGCAACATATACTGCTGATCAGGAGCAAGTTGCAGCATTGCAGCCGTTAGCCATGTTAATCTGTCATTTGACATTCTCAGCTGTTTTTCTGCTTCAGATAATGTTTTCAGAGCTTGACGTAGTTTTTCCATATCTTCTTTCGATACTGAAACCAACAGATTATTTCTGTCAGTTGGAGAAAAAATGAAAAGTTGTACAGGAATCCAGGAAAACCTGGGATTTAAAAATAAATAAATAAAATATTTAACTTTCAAATGAAATTTAAGGCAAAAAATAAGAGGGTAAAATTCACTTTACCCCCATGTGGTTTAAGGTTGGAGCACTTTACCTCTTGTCGTTCAAAAATAGGTAGACAACTCCCTTGTGGTTTTGAGCTAAATTACAACCATAACTCTGCTACCAGAAAGAGATAAAATTACCTTAATGCCCCTCCGGCCTTGTATCCCACTTTTTACTTCTCTTATTTTGTTTTTTCTCCTCTCTTCTACACATAATTTCTAACTTAAACATCAACAATTTCCCATGAGAAAATAACAATAGTTCAATTAAATCAAATTATTCCACCACAAAAAGAAAACCTTTAAAACTCTAATTGTTTATTTTAATTTCTCACTTTTTAAACTAATTTTTATTTTACTATATTTTACACAAAAACAAATACATATATATAGACACTTGTATATACAGTGTGAACAACATGGAATCAAAGAACTATTTTGATTCATCAAACATCACCATCTGAACAAAATGGAATCCTGGGAATCAAAGAACGATTTTGGAATGAATAAGCTTATAGAAAGAAATCAAATTTCTAGGATCTTGGGATCATGTTTCGATTCTGTTAACTTATGGTAACAAATCATGGGGGAAGGAAATAGGGGGTCGCGGTAATGGTTGAGGGGGGACAAGACAGCAGTGATGGTTTGTAGTGACGACTGCCAGGTTGAAGAGAGATGGTGGTGGCAGGGAATGTCTAGGTGGGGAGAGGCGGCAGTCATGGTTGGGCAAAGGAGATGAGGTGAATGGACTCAGATAGAAAAGAGATGATGGCAATGGTTAGAAGGGAAGAAGGGTGGCTGATTAGGGTTAGAGATAGGGTTTGGTTTTGTAGGATTAGGGTTTTCAGGGTTTGGAAAGAGATGAAGAAGATGGTATAAATGTCTTTTTCAATTTTATTTTCACATTCATTTTTTTAAAAAGGAAGCTCACTCACAAAATTGGTGAGTTTATTACACTCTCAATTAGTTTGGACAGAAAGTGTAACAACAGCAATTTAGTTCAAAACCACAAGAGAGTTGTCTGCCTATTTCTGAAATATTAAGGGGATAAAGTGCTTCGGCATTAAACCACAAGGAGGTAAAGTGAATTTTTCATAAAATAAAAATCAATTAGGCAATTATTATCATCAATATGTGCTCAACCAAATAATCTTGGACTTACAAGATTGTCTTCGAAAGAACTTCCTTCTAGGCCTTTCTTTTGTCAAATCATAGCTACCAGCCAGAATATCAGTTATTACAGTAGCAAGTTGTGACATTAAAGCTAATGGCTCAACACCAGATTCCATGATCTCTCTCAAATTCTTCACTGTGTTAACTGTGTCTGCAGATAATGCCAGATCAAGTAGATCTACCAACTTCTCATCAGAGATAAGTCCAACCTACGAGAAGGATACATTAATCTTAAAAAATTCATAGCCATCGCATAAATAATTTGTGCAGAAAGGATTGCAAGATGTGCAGTGTAAAATAAATTTCCATGTTGTTCACAAAGTAAGTATTCAAAAAACATTAATTGCTGATCACCAAGCACATATAAATTAGCATATGTATCAGGTATTGATTTTTGTGTAGTCACAGACTTATAGTGCATTGTAGCTAATCATCTATTACACGCTTAGAACTTTTTATCAAATTGAAAGAAAATTAAAATTCTTTCCAACAAAACATCTAATAATTAATCAATGAAATAACAGAAAACAATATTCAAGTTAGATGATCTTTTCTTTGAACAATACTACAACAATAATATTTATGCTGAATCTGAAACTTTGCTTCATCACTTTAGTTCATGTTCTCCATACAATGTTTTTAGATTTGAACCTAATTCCAAAGTTCTAGCCTATCTAATTATCTCTTTAATGTAGTTAGGATTAGTATGGTTGTTATGTTTCTGGTACAATAAGAGTTAGTTGTGTCTTTTATCCTATAAATAGATGGTTAAGCCCCTCTAATATGAGTTGATATATTTTGTGATTGTATTTTCAGAGATTGAGAGCTCCTGTATCTCTAATTGAGTTTTCTCTCTCTAATGAAATCTCTTTCCTAAATTGGTTCCATCACTCTCATTTTTCTCCTCATTGGAAAATCTTCCAAATCTAATTGCTTCTTGTCGTTCTAAACACGATCAAAAAACTTATAGAGTCATCATACTTTAAAGGCTTCCATAAATGGCACCTCCACTTCCATTCTATCTTCATCTAATATTTTTGATGTGCTGGCTACAAGTGTTCGTCAGGAGAGAGAGAGAGAGTGTGTGCAAAGGAGATGATATGTAAAAGACTTATTTTCATCTAGAAGACTAACTCTAATGATCCTGTTAAGGTTTGTTGATGGTCTATGGTAAGGGGCACAGATCTTAGGGCCTCTAGGAATCATGGTAGGCACAAGATGGAAGACCATCAGAGGTGGAAAAGGAGAAAGTCGAGGCGTCTTAATAGACAGAGATTTGTAGTGAGAAGGATGCCTCTGATGTGTAGGTGTGGGAGAGTAAGCTCCCTCAAGAGTGTCTCGGTATAGAGGTGGAGACTTCCTTTAGAGAAGAGTAGTAGGGCCTTGGAGGCCAGCTGACCCTTATGGGTCGTGCCAAGGGCCACAATGAGTAAGAATGATGGCACGTGCCTTCGTCAAAGTATAGACTTGTTGATGTCTCTCTTATCTAAGATTGGTCAAGTAGAGCCACCCAGGGAGGAGGGACTGAACTGAGCAACTTTGATGATTCTCAATTTAGTTGTTAATGCACAAGCCTCTGATGATCCCATGTAGGATCATGGGTTTCTCGGACATCCCATGAATGAAGAACTGATCTCAACGGGTCCCTTGGTCCTACTCAAGCTATATAGCTTAAGGTGTAAGTTTGAAGTTGAGTTGAGCTTGGGTGAGGCAAGGCAAACAAGTTGTCAAGCAGGTAAGCAAGGACTTTGCCCCTACAAGTGAGATACATAGTGGAAAGGTGAGGTAGGAGACAAATCGAGTGAGGGCGTGTAGGTAGTTAAAGGTGAGGCCCCTCGGTGAGGCAAGGCAAGGTGACGCAAACAAATCACCAAGCTAGCGAGGCAAGTCCATCAAGTGGATAAGCAAGGGCAAAGGGAGGGGTGTCCAACAAAAAAAAGATTGAAAAGCCCTACATTTTTTACGAGAACCATTTGACATGGACAAAGCTACACTTTTACCCTTGAGAGCCCCCCCCCCCCCCCCCCCCCGGCGGGCGGCCTCGAGTAGGGGTGAGCAAACACTAGGTCAGGCTGGGTTCAAGTCAGGCTTGCGCTATATAGAAAAAGCATATATATCATCCAAAGCCTGACCCTAAAAGAACTTCTACATTCTAACCCACCCACTTAACCCAATAGATATAGGTGATATAGGCCTTTTTTTCTTTTTTTTTCTTTTTTTTGTCTTTAATGGCTATTAAATTATTAGAACCTTTTAATAATTATTTGAATTTAGAACATTAGCAAAATTCAATTATAAAATAAATATTGTCTTTTAACAAATGTTTTGATATATACCATTCTTATCTTTTATTAGTTTTCTAGTATATTTTGTAATTAAAAATTAAATTTAAAATTTTGTAAATGGGCAGGCCAAGTTGGGTTGAGCTTTAACTCTTTATCCTCAGCCCAACCCAAAATTAAATGTGCTCAAAATATCTGCCTAGCTTAGCCCTATGGGCTAAATATTTTTCCCAAACCTTAAAAATATTAGGTTGGGTTGGTTTACTCGGGAAATTGGGCATATGGCCACCCCTAATGACGAGGGAAGGCTTATGCTTTTGTGATGTAGAGTCAACACCATCTAGGTGATGACGTGGCAAGTTAGGTTGAGTGCCGAAAACTGCAAGGTTGAAGCCAAGGGTAATAATGAAGGGGTAGCTGAGGGTAGTCACACGAGTGCATCATGCAACAAACTCCTATTAAGAAGGATAAAAGGATAGAACAAAGAGGAATTTGGATACTACTCTGTCTTCTATTCCAGAGATGGTAATAAAAGGAAACTAGAGGAAAAATTTATATCTCATGTTTCCACAAGAGAAAAATATTGCAAACCTTACTATCAAGCGGAAGAAGTCATGCCCAAACCCTTTTAGCAAGCATACAACTTTAAAGAATCAAGAACAGAGAGGCTTGGGTTAATGGTTTACATTGTTTTCACTGTGTAGTATATCTCTCCGTGTCTAACCTCTTTGGTTGTGAGATGATGCATTTTGTTTCTATCCTCCTGATGGACAGTTTTGCCTACTAGTTTTTACTAGGTGACGATGGTCATGTCCCAAATTTCATTGTATCTCTCATTTTTCGGTAATAAATCACCTAATATCAAAAGGTCAAGGTTCCAGCTTTCTATTAAGGATGTGGATGCTAATGAAACTCAAAGAGGCTCACAAAGGAGTTGGTGTTGCAAAGGAAAGAAGCTACAGGAAAATTACGTTGCATTGCAATGGAAGAGATTAGTTATACAAGATCTTTGTGGGTTGGGGGACAGAAACACTAAATTATTCCATCATATGGTGATCACACATAGGAGGTCAAATCATGTGGGGAGGTAAGTGAGTGATGGGGTGGAAGGAAGACAACATTAAGTAAGAGGTGGAGCAATTTTTCAAACTTATACATGGTGTAGAAGGCCTCACCTTGATGGGTTCGACCTTAGTAGCAAGAAACACTTACTTGGGCAACACTTCTTACTTGGAAACGCAATTCTACTCTACCAAGTAAGAAACTTGCTCCTATTGAGGAAGAAATTCAATGATTCCCAACTAAGATAGAACCTTTCCAACATACAAATCTCAAAAAATTAAATAAATAAATAAAAGAAAAACAACTCAAACTTATTCCAAGGCTTTCTATTTACATAATATTTATTTGTACTTAATAAATACAATTCTTAATTGACAATTTGACATCAATCTCTAATATCTATTCATTTTTTAACACATTACAACTAAGCAGAACAAAATAATTGTTAGAATATATTTATATATTAATATATAAAATATATAAATGCTCCCATAGGCGCTCCCAACCTTAGAAACTTCTATATGCCCCTGTCCCGCCCTCGCTTCTTGCAAGTAAGGTCTGGACTTCATTTCTAACTTAGAGGAACATTTGTGGGAACGTTTGTAAAGGACTTTCTCAGAGGAGGAAGTTTTGACAACATTTAAGAATGGCAATGAGAATAAGGCCCCAAGTTCAAATGAGATTGCAACGGCTTTTCCCAAGCTATGTAGGGTTTCTTGAGAAAGTCATGGCTATTGCACATCACTTTCCTAAGCACAGATTATTGAGAAGACTATTAATGCCTCTTTTATTGTATTACTGTTGAAAAAAATGTAGTGAAATGGAGTTAAAAGGATTTTAAGTATATTAGCCTTATGGGTTGTATTTACAAACTAGTGTGAAAGTTATTGCACATTTGTTGAGGTTGGTAGCAGGGAAAGATGTTTCTGAGCCACAAGATTTTTTTATGGTTGGTAGGCATAATCTAGTTGTAGTCTTAATGGCAAATTAGGTCGTTGACTTAAGAATACGATTGTGATATCCCGAGACCTGGACTCGACCGGTATGGTGTAGTCAAATGGTTTGTTTTACTTTCGGAGTCTTGATTATCATATTAAGTAGTTGAGATTTCAATTCCATTCTTACTTAACCCATCTTAATGTTTCCGGGTTAAAATTTTAAGTTATGGGTGTAAGAACTTGTATCGGGATGTGGAATCAAATTTTGGCTTTGGCTGGCAAAACCGCTAGTGCAGTTTTGGTAAACTGCCCGTGTGGAATCACTTAGGGAATTTGGGAATTTCTGGGCAGAAAACCACTCGTGCGAATTTGGCAGGAATCCTAGGTTCTTCTCTGACTCAAACTGCTCGTGAGGGATGTGTAAATCCACTCGTGCGGATTTAGATTTCTGCTCATGCGGAATTTGAAACCGCTCATGCGGTTTTCCGCATGTCTGTCTCGAATTTTGAGCCATTTTCCTCAAATCTAATGCCAAAAATGTATTGTACTCACTATTTTCATCTCTCTCTCTCTCTCTCTCTATATATATATATATATTAATCTTTTCTCCTCCATCTCTCTACAAACCCATCCATACTCAAACTTTTCTCTAAGATTTAGCAAAAACTATCAAGATTTCGATAGGGGTTCTTACACCAAATCGAAGAGGGCGACAAGAGCTACATTTTCACCAATCAAATCAAGATTTCATCGACGTTGAATTTTAGGATTTTTCTCTCATTCCTCTCCCAAGCTTGAGGTATGGACATTCTTAGAGTTATATATATTTTTGTAAGTCTATGCTTGTTTGAAACCATTTTCTTATATTTTGAACTATGACTTTGGGTTCATGAGCTCTAGATGATTTTAAAAGTGGATTTTCTCTAT